GCCCGGGAGCAGGATGCCCGGGGAGTTTGTGGAGTCTCCTTCTCTGGAGATATTCAAGACCCGCCTGGACAAGGTCCTATGCAGCTTGCTGTAGGTGACCCTGCTTCGGCAGGGGGACTAGATGACCCACAGAGGTCCCTGCCAACCCGTACTATTCTGTGATTCTGTGATTACTCACAGAAGTAAGAACCATAAACAAGAAGCATCTGAAGAATCAGACAACACAGGAACGCATTAGAAACTCTGTGGCTGTGGGAAGTATTTTAGAAATATTGCCTTGTGGAGATGTCAAGGGGCTGAACTCCACGCCCAGCTAGCTCGGTCCTTGGGCACGCTGATTTACACACGCACCACCCAACGCCAGGATTTCAGCAAACCCTTTACGTCACGTTTGAGGACGATATTCAAGAGAAGGCTGCGGGGAGACCTGGTTGCAGCCTTTCAGCACTTAAAGGGAGCCGATAGGAAAGATGGGGACAATCTGTTTAGTAGAGACAGCAGTGACAGGACGAGGGGTAATGGTTTTAAACTAAAACAGGGTAGGTTTAGACTGGATATAAGGAAGAAATTCTTTACAATGAGGGTGGTGAAACCCTGGAATGGGTTGCCCAGAGAGGTGGTGGAGGCCCCATCCCTGGAAACATTCAAGACCAGGTTGGACAGGGCTCTGAGCACCCTGATCCAGTTAGCGGTGTCCCTGCTCGCTGCAGGGGGGTTGGACTAGATGAGCTCTAGGGGTCCCTTCCAACCCAAAACTTTCTATGATTCTATGATTCTAATTAAGGCCATAACATGAGAATTATGACCTATATATCCATCCCCATAAAGAATAAAACACAAAACTGAAACAAAGCCTTTCCCTTGAGAGTTGTGAAGCATTCCTGTGTGATCTGGAAGTGCTTCCAGTCTCCAACACACCGCACTGGCAAAATGGCTGTTGCCTACCTGAAGAGGACATCATTTTATTTGTATAACTGCACTAACCTGTGGGCAAAGAGAATTTCAGTTGGAATACAATTTTCATGTAAGGGAAGTGTTGTCCACATTAAAAATTGCACCAAGGAAAGATTTGCCATAAATTCTCCGCAACTCATGGAAAAAAAATAAAAGCAACTGCATGGCAATTTTCTCTCAAAATGAAGAAACAATAGCACATGGTATGCAGTAATCATTTGCTGGTTTTCATTGTGTGAATACCCAGAAGTTCTGTACAAGGAAGTTATCTGCTACCCTAATTAGAAACCTATATAATCCAGGCTGAAGGTAGCTATGGAAAGATCATATTGCAGAACGCTGAGATTAACGCGTGTCGAGATGCTCAAATTTGGATTTCTTGAAACAGGCACAAGTGTCCCTACACACAGTTACAGCGGGAGCTGAAGCGAAGCAGAGTCAACTCTTCTGCTTCACTTTGGATCCGAAGATCCTGTACAAAATACAGTCAGAACACACGTCACCAAACGTTGCAAAACTATTTGGGAAGAAGTAGGCATCCGCTTACTAACAGGACTCCTCCATTCTTACACACTCATCTCCCAGCATCTAATTCTCAAAAAGACACACAGACACGCTGCGGAAAAGCTGTATTCAGGGACGAACTGCTTCCTTGAAAGGACCCTGGAAATCACCACGACATCAGGTCTAGTGCTGAAACATGCGGCTGGCTGGATAAACACCAGCAGATCCATGCATTTCTCAAGCTAACAAACAAAAAGTCAAATGCTAAAATTTAAAAAAAAAAAAAAAATTTTGGTGAATTGGCAAAACTTAAGCCACAACCAAGCGTCAAAAAATTAAGCCACCAGAAACAGAAGCCATTTGTCAACATGGGGCCATAGGTGCTCAGCAATGACTTTGCCTAGGCTAGGATAAGGGGTTTTGTCATTTTTGAAACTTCAGCTTAAATTAGCTCCTTTCTGCCATTTATGCTAAGCAGGATCTTTTTGTTCCCATTTAAATACATATTTAATAAAAATAAACAGAAACACATTGCCAGTATTTGCTGGCCACTGGTTAACCTCACGTCGACACATCCTTTAAATTAAAAGCTCAAGAGACAAAGACATCCAAATTAATTTTCAATGACAACTTTTTACAAAAAGTAGGCTCCTGCACTACCACTCAGTTACAGGACTACAAACACGGGGCTGGCCCAAAGCCCACTAACGTGGATGGAACATCTCACACTAACCTCAGAGGACTTGGGATCAGTCCCTACAACAACTACACGAAGAACATTCCATTTTGGGAGATTTTTAGTGGTTGGAACCTTTTTCAAGAAAGAGTTATACTGGGAAACAAATAGATTCAACTGCCTAATAGGCTATTAAAATAAAACAAAAAACAACTAAAAGCAGAAAGTGATAAAGTGCCCAGGTGCTCCAGGTATCAGCAGCCCGGGAGAGCCCCACATTGTGCCATGCTGTCCAGTAGGAAAATCCTCACCGGAGCAAGAACCCTCTCGGTCTTGTGCTGTACGATTAATGTGACTGCAAGGTCTCACCCAGCATCCAGAGATGAGCTCAGGTGCGGCTGGCCCGAGGTGACACTCGCCCGTGAGTACCTCCACCACCCCCCACCCATGGGAGCGGGTGCTGCCACCCACTCTGGAGACCCACGGATTGCACGCACCGAGGATGGACAACGCGGTGCTCCAACTACACCCCTCGGTGGAAGGGTTCTTAGAAACGATTTCCTACCTACACACTTACAGAACGGCTTCAGAGCAGAGCCAACTGCTGAATAATCAAACATGTTATCTTTATTGTATGAAATAATCATTAAATGAAAAAAAAATGCAAAAACCCATTTGCATTTCTATAAGGAAATTTCATAAATGGGCCTTCCTCCGCACCCTTCAAATGAGACACTGCCTTTTTGAAAAAGTAAACAATATTCTCAGGCAAGGCTCAGGTCACCTGCAAGTCTGCAGATCTCCAGTCCTGTTTCCGTTCTTTCAAGAGTGTCATTCTTTCCCTTTCTATGAATGTAACTATTTCACAAAGAGAAAAGGAAATTGGCTAACATACTACAAAAAAAATAAACTATTAAAACTGGCTGTGTAAAGTAAGGAATCAAAGACAATGAGAAAAATATTTTCCCCTCTCGTCATTTTTCAGTAAGAAGAGTTTAATTTGCTTCTTGAACCAATGAAAGACATAAAATGTCTGACAAATTGTGATTTTTAAGCTGACGGAACTGACAAATACAAACTGCATTTCCTTCTTGGTAGCCATTCAAAGGAACTGTAACATCTTGTGTCATGGTAACTGCACAAATTAATCTGGACAGAAAAAAAAAATGGATTGCATTTTAAATGACAAACAACAAAACAGCAAACATTGGACTCGGTGGTATTCAAATTATGACACCAGAAACTAATTTCATTCATAAATTTTGAATGTACAAGTTATTTTATGCTAACTAAAAGCTACACCGGGCATTCCCATGATCTCACTCTCGAGTCACAGCTGGCAGTTAGCAGCAGACCTGATGGCACTTTAAACAAACTCAGAGAGATAACTAGATGAAAAGAACGGGCTATGCTGAGAGTAAACACCAGTTAAGTTTTCTGTTTGTTAAAGAGAATTAACAATGGAGCTAAATCGCAAGGCAAGTTGCTACAGTCAGAGAAACAACAGCACTACTGCCAAATCTTTGAAAAACATTAAAAGGCCAAGGCTCAAAATGCAGGCAACATTATTTAATTACCACTATGTTCAATAAACTTCTATTTTACAGAGTTAAAGGTAACATAAAGCTAATATTCAGCACTCAGGTAACATTTCCTGCCAAATGACGTACAAAATCAAATCAAAATATCATTGTCAGATTGGAAAAGGCACTTGTAACTGTACAGAAAAGCAGTATCTTAATCCAGGATACTTACATTATTGCATTCTCCCAGGAAATATAGTGCAAATCCGTCAGCTTTTGTAGCTGCCAAAGCAATAACAAAAGAAATCATTGTACTCACAGGGGGCAATGGAACTTACACAAGATCTCTGAGCTGAAACCACAGATTCAATCCCACCTAGGACAAACATCGACAGCTCTAAAGGTGAGGGTCTCCTGCTGTGCCCCCCGAAACCTCCCAGACTCCACAAAGGTGGAGGCAGGGGATAATCCTCGCTCTCCCCACTGTCACCTGGTACGTTCTAAAAGATAATTAGAAACAGCCTCTCTATAGATCTTATTCCATGGCCTGATGTCTGGAAATTCAAAGTAATTCATACGACAGTACAGAAGTAACAGAAGAACGTGGATTTACAATATCACCATCCAGATAACATTCTAATTTCCACGAGCAAAATAAATATCATTCATAGATGGTCAACTATATTTGTCCTCGCCTTAGGATTGAAAAATATGGGAAAATGAAATGTTGCAAATATTGCCAAAAAAATGTGTTTCAAAACCCAGTGTTCCTCCTTTCTGCCCCTGCCCCGTGCCGGAAAGCCCACGCTCACCGGATCTCTGCCGGCTGCAGATCGCTGCACGAAGCAGGGTGAAGTCAAGTTCCTCAAACTCCCCAAAGCTGAGAGCCAACCAACCACCAGAACTCCTTGCCGAAACCAAAACTCTGCGACCGAGCAGAGGCCGTGCAGTCCACGGTTCTCACCCCGCTCCGCGCACCGGGAGCGTGAGCCCGCCGGCCTCTCCGCCAGCCGGCGAACGCTCCCGCCGGCCGAGACCCCGCTTTGAGGGCAGAACCCACGGCTCCGCTCGGTACCTCTCCGGGGAGCGAGGACACCCGTGTGTGACCAGATCGATTGGCTTTTTTCCCGGGGGCACCAACCCCCCCGCGCAGCCCCTCGCCTATCGCCAACGGCGCGATGAGAGCTGCGGGCACGGCGTCCAGCTCTTCGCCCCTCCAGCTGCAGCACGTTACGAGGCAAACGAGCGCTGGAAATATATTAAAAAGCCTCGTCTGCTTGGCAAAAGACAAAAAACGTTGTAAAAGACAGGCAGGCCCCTGTCTCCCGCGGCTACAAAATCCAGCCAGGTTTGCCGCCAGCCGGGCATCGACACCCAACCAACCACTTGAGCAAAACCCGTCACGAGAAGCGGTCTTTGGAAACCCCACGTACGCAAACCAGAGCCGCTGCCGACCGAGGAAGCACCAGGGACGGTGAAGCCTTTCCACGGGGCTGGCTGAAAGCTCTGTGGGATGAAGCTACTGCTGCTTCCCACCCGCTCGGGGTGAAAACAAGCCCAGCGACACCTATCTTGTTATTGGGATTTTTTTTTTGTTTTTATTTTGTCACTGTTGATCATGTGTAGTGCTTTCTTACCACAAGAGGTACTTACGTGGGATGGAAAAAAAATGGTTAAACTAAATGTAATTTGAGATCACACAGAAGACGTGCCCTCCTTCCCTAACATCTCAGGTCTGTTTCAAAAGGAGCTCAACTACGCCATGACGTTACCAACAGACATTTTTACTTCCAATATGAACACTCCAACACCATCCTAAGCAGAACAGCCTGTTCTTTGGTTCGTTTAGCGGGGGGCTCTGGTTTTGCAGTCGGGCACCCAGCTCTCTCCCAAGACAAAAATCCCTTCAGTGAGGGATTCACCGAGGGACAGCAGGCAAGGCAAGGTCACGCTGAGACAACACCCAACGAAGCCACCGCTGTCCCTCAATACCTCTCTTTGTCAATGAAACCACGCAAGAAACGTGCTGTGCACTGGTGCAAGGCCACAGCTCAGAGACATCTGACGCCGTCCTTACCGATTTTAATGATGCTGCTCAGCTCGTACAGCAGCAGTTGGTTATCTCCTCCCGTGTCCAGGCGCTGCTCGATGTAGCTGTTCAGCTCGTACACGACACCTTGCATATTCGTATCCTGGTACTACGGAAGCAAAGATGAGAAGAACGTTTTAGAATGACTAGTATGCATTTTGAAGGTTTTAAACAAATAAATTCATTAAGAATAATACGTTGAGATCCACTACAGCTGGCAGAAGAGCTGGGTTACTGGCAAGCAAGGAGCACAGCACCACACTCTGTGCTCCTTCACTCCTTCAAAGCGTACCAGGGACACCACTGAGCTACCAGGAACCGCCAAAACTTGGCCAAGGTAACGTAACACTGTCACTAGAAGAAACTGGTGACACGACAATTCTAAGGCAAGTAACCTTCAACTCCTTCCTCCTTTCTCCACCACAAAAGGAGGCAACGAGCTGCCTCTGCTAGAACCCTCCACCGCAAACTGACGAGCCAGATGAGAGAACCGTGCCGAGACCAGAGCTGTGAGGTGGTCGCTCAAGGAGCTCAGCCTTTCAAACACAAATTAACACCAGCAGACTGAGGGACAGAAATCACCCGAGCCAAAACCACAGAACCTGAGGAGCCCAGCATGGCAGGGGATGGCAGGGCCCTCTGTGGGTCACCCAGCCCAACCCCCTGCCCAAGCAGGGTCACCCACAGCAGGCTGCACAGGACCTTGTCCAGGTGGCTCTGTAATATCTCCAGAAAAGTGCCCCTTGTCCTGTTGCTGGGCACCACTGAAAAGAGCTTGGCCCCATCCTCCTGACACCCACCCTTCAGATATTTGTAGGCATTTATAAGGTCCCCTCGCAGCCTTCTCTTCTTCAGGCTGAACAAGCCCAGTTCCCTCAACCTCTCCTCGTAGTGGAGATGCTCCAGTCCCCTCACCATCCTTGTAGCCCTCCGCTGGACTCTCTCCAGTAGCTCTTCATCTTTCTTGAACTGGGGAGCCCAGAACTGGACACAGTACTCCAGATGAGGCCTCACCAGGGTAGTGTAGAGGGGAAGGAGAACCTCCCTCGTCCTGCTGGCCACACTCTTCTTGATGCACCCCAGGATCCCATTGGCTTTCTTGGCAGCCAGGGCACACTGCTGGCTCATGGTTAACCTGTCGTCCACCAGGACACCCAGGTCCCTCTCTGCTCTCCAGCAGGTCCACCCCAAGCCTGTACTGGTGCATGAGGTTGTTCCTCCCCAGGTGCAGGACCCTGCACTTGCCCTTGTTGAACCTCATCAGGTTCCTCTCTGCCCAGCTTTCCAGCCTATCCAGGTCACGCTGAATGGCAGCACAGCCTTCTGGTGTATCTACCACACCTCCCAGTTTGGTGTCGTCAGCAAACTTGCTGAGGGTACATTCTAACTCTTCATCCAGGTCGTTGATGAAGAAGTTAAACAAGACTGGGCCCAGTACTGACCCCTGGGGGACACCACTTGTTACCGGCCTCCAACTAGACTTCTTCCCTCTGAGGAGGGAAGTAACAGGAAAAACACATAATAAAAAGCAGATAAAAAATAAAAAGTTTGCTAGTAACAGGAAAAACACATAATAAAAAGCAGAGGCTTGACTTGCAAGAAAAGAACATTATGATCATATAGAAGTAATCATAGAAGCTGTTATTAACTGCCAGGCTCATAAAACTGCACGAATCTCTCAATTATATCACCTCTCCAGATCATACGACAGAACGGCATCATGAGCTTCATTTGAACTTGCCAAGGCTGAAGCTCCTCTTCTAAACAGCTTTGTATAAACTCACTTTCCCTCCTAATAGTTGACTTGCAGGCGCTCTGAAGACACCGTGTACAAAATTAAAAATAACCTTCCTCATTCTCCTACCGCCGTCGCTTATCGCTACCGCAGTGTCCGCAAGAACCTCTTCAGAAAGAACTCGGCTTACACAGGCGTCGTCTTCTCCCGACAACGGGCGCACTGCCATCTGCATCACTTCTACAGGCGAAATATTTAGGTTTTTTTCTAGTTCCCCTAACTCTTTGATTAAACTCGCCGCGGTCTCCAGTTCTGGGACTGTGCGAACAGATTCTAACCCCGTCTTTAAGATGGAAATGCTACGCGGAACGAGCGCGCTCTGCCACCGTGTCACAAGCAGCCCCAGCTCTCACGCTCGGCCGCAGGGTGAAGACACAGCAATTACTGCAGCTGCTCACCGAAAACACGCTTGCTAATTCTGCGGGCGCCAAGGCAGCTGCCGACAGCTCCGGGGCCAAAAAAGGGGGAAAGGAGAGGATTAAAGCACTATTCCCATTTCGAAGCATAAGGCCCCGTAAATGAGCTAGTCACTCGCTAGGGAATAATTTTCCAGAGTTTATACGGTGAACTTCTGCGAAGCGAATCGCTGCTGGCATCCCCGGAGTTTACAAAGCACAGGGACGTGGCTTCACTGGAAGCGTTGCTCAAGTAAACATGGAGTGGAAAGTCATTCAGCAAAGCGAACAACAGCTAATTTCGCTGTGATCATATCAGGAACATGAAGTATTTTTGTTTAAACTTCAGAATCTGAGGTACAAAAGAGCACGCAGAAACTCAGCAGCACGGAGGACAAAATCCTGGCTACGGTTCATGTCGGAGCGGGGTTATTTCTGCCAGCTGAGGAGAAGAACACGTCCTCAGCGCACGCTGTTTTCATTCACGCTGCCAAAGAAACCCGTTTTTACTCTAGATGTACATGGACACACACACACACTCCGTGCTCACACTCACCCTTCTCTGTGTTCCTTCCTTCTGCGGGTAAAACCGCAAAAACAAAGCACAAACTTCAGCTGCGGCGTCCTTCACCGCCACGGCTCAGCAGTCGGTGGTGGTCCTGCAGCCCCTCCGCCCAGCGGCCCCTTCCGCAGCCGCGACGGACGGGACCACCCGACACGTCCGCGCAGCCAGCGAGCAGAGGACACGCTGCGTTTCCAAGGACCTTCCCAATAACGCAGCACGAGAAAAGGAGATTCTGTCCCCAGCCACATACATTTCATAAATACTGGAAAATAGCGTGCAGAAACGAGTTCACAGGTTCACTCTTTGGTCACAGATGCTCATGAGATCTTTCGTAACCAGAGCTGTTCCTACGCCAACAGCAGTCCACAGCAATCGGGAAAACTTTTTTTTTTCTTCTCCCCCATCAGCTACCACGTCGGGTCAGACTCGGACGTCTTTGCATCCAACTCCTGAACACCAAGATATTCACGAAATTACCATTAGTAGGCTGGATTTAAAAATAATAACTTTGAAAAGCTGCTTTTCTATTCTGCCAGTCTTCAAATTTAAAATACGTGGAAGGTTTCTCCTACTTTCTCCTTGTTTCAAAAACATGCAATGTAATGCTGATAGCCAAGATTGCTACTTCATTTTTGTTTTTCTGCTAAGATGCTACCAACCCCAGAACCCCGGCATGGCAGGGGTTGGCAGGGACCTCTGTGGGTCACCCAGCCCAACCCCCTGCCCAAGCAGGGTCACCCAGAGCAGGCTGCACAGGACCTTGTCCAGGTGGGGCTGGAATATCTCCAGAGAAGGAGACTCCACAGCCCCTCTGGGCAGCCTGGGCCAGGGCTCCGTCACCCTCAGAGGGAAGAAGTTCTTCCTCTGTTCAGCTGGAGCTTCCTCTGCTTCAGTTTGTGCCCGTTGCCCCTTGTCCTGTCGCTGGGCACCACAACGGCAAAAGATTAAAAACGTGGTTCCTACACTACAGCATTTTTCAGAACTTCCTTTACAAAGTGTGAAACTGCAACACAAACCCTTGAAAATACCGAAATTTTCTCCCAGTAATTCAAGAAGTAGAAGATTTTTTTCAAAAACCCAGGCACCATTTATCCCACTGCACTTTGCTGATACGAAATAAAACAGGCAAGCGAACGACCAGCTCAGTATTCAGAGCCCCTAGAACGTTCCTACAACCTTGTATGGTGGTAAAGAAAAAAAGCCAGTCTTTCTGGGGGGAGAAAGGGGTCAAATAACTTTAACAAAAAATACCCTCCTCTAATTGAATTCTGCTGCCCTGTGCAAGCACCGCAGAAAGGAGACCATCGAAGCAACGGATGGCACGGCATACGAATATGTTTTAATCTTTGCACTTTGCCCAACACTTTCAACACTGAAAGATGGAAAAAAAAAATATCCCACAACGAAAACCACATTTTTTTCAGCATATTTTTACTCTGGTTCCTAAATAATGTAATGCTTTAATCCAGTTGGTGATTTAATTCAGCAATAAACGTCCTTCCCATTAACCTTTATTCTTGCTTCCCTACGACACAAGCGTCTTCTCGCAGACATTTTCAGGAATTAAAAATGTAACACTTAACGAGTCTAAAACTCGTCATTCTTCTGTCAGCAAGAACGTGTCTTTTTGCCTGAAAAACACCACTCGCACACAGAACTTTCCTCATTTAAATTCTAATTTATGTTCAGACTTTAATTAAAATGGCACCTGAGCCGCTGCTGAAGAAAGAGGATGTATTATAGTGGTTACATTATTATATGTGGCATAATTCAAGCATACCATAAACTAATGAAGATGTTAATTTGTAGTACGGCGCACTAATGAGTGCCCTCAAGTATTGTACTTTAAAAAAAAACCCAAAAAATAGCAGTGTGACACGGTCTGCACACCAACTGCACAACGACTGACAGTGAAGAAAAACCCAAGGGCGAAGATGCTCGCTGAAGAGCTCCCGCAGCCCCACTGCACCCACCGGCCCCAGGACGCGCGGCGAGCGCGCACCCGTCCCCCGCAGCACCC